AGGTGGAGGCCATCGCTACTAGTAACAAGAAGCTACTAGTAGCAAGGACGCTATTAGGTGGTTGGAGGCCATCGCTACTAGTAGCAAGAAGCTACTAGCTTTCAGTAGCCTTCCGTTTTTGTCATCGAGCACCCCTTTAAACATTTCCCTCGCCCTTTTTCTATCATTTCCAACACCCCCTTTCACCCAAAGGAATTCACTACATCATGCACATGCCTACAGTGTGTCCACAAATACCCACAGGACGCTACTAGGCTGTTACTAGGGGCTCCTGGCCTTACTACTAGGAGCAAGAAGCTACTAGGAACAAGGAATAGGCTGCATGCGAAGCTGCAATCATTAGTTCGATCGGAACTCTTTGGCTTCCACAGAGTTCCCAAACCATTGTTAAAACCATCTGATCCGACAGAAGGACTTTTTCGGGAAAAACACATTCACAGCAATCTTTGTAAACGAGGCTACCAGGCCACCCTTTCTGTAGAATTTGAATTGGGGATTTTTTGAAGCTATTCAAGAACCTTGCTGAGCGGAGTCGTATGATGCTCCATCTCAATGCCTTGCAGTGCTTTGCTTGCTCCCTTCTCCTTGTGTCTGCACCACTTGGCTCCACACATGCCAGGCAACTGCTGCGCAACAGTGCTGGCATCCACCAACGACATTCCACTTGAAGACCAAGAATTGGTCGCCTATGAAACAAAACCAGACCCGCATCGGGTTCAGAGGATTTGAAGCACTAACAACCTCAATGTTAACTTCTACCTCCAGTCTGAGAGTGTTACCCTTCTCAAGAGCTTCTGAACCGTCTCAAACAAGACAGTGAACCGATGGACTCAAACCTATTAGCGATGGTAACCTACTAGCGATATGGCCTCCAACCTAGTAGCAATGGCGTCAAAGGCGTCCAACCTAGTAGCGATGGCCTCCAACCTAATAGCGATGGCCTCCAAGCACCAAGATATCGTTTTTTCCTTGTGCGGATGTCGCTAGCAGGCTAGTAGATTGGAGGCCTTTGCTATTAGGTTGGAGGCTTGGCATATCTCATCATCTCGTCTTCAAGCCAAGACAACGAGTCGATGCCTCGATGCCTCCGCTTTCGGCCGAGTTGCCAAGTCGAAGGAGGTACAATAGTCTCCCTGAACAGGAGACGCGCTCTGCAGTCCTCAAATGCTGTTCCATAGAATGGGCAGTTTGCTTTCAATGCGAAGCGTTGACTAGACCTGAAGTATTGAGGAATCTCTCTGCAAGTGCAATTCAACATGTCCAGCAGTCAGAAATCGATCTGTCTACCCTGCAAAACTTGTGATTTCCAAGACATGGAGGGCTCTTGTGCAAAAACTGGTGTTGGTGCTTGGATGCTAACAGGATTCTTGCTGACGCCGATTCCCTAGATAGGTGGTGCAAAGACCCAGTGCTAAAGAATAATGTGTTGGTATGTTGGTACTGCACAAGTTATCTATAACGTGCCTGCAAATATAGCAATGGCCTTCAACCTACTAGCGATGGCCTCCACCCTAGTAGCGATGGGCTCCAACCTAATAGCTATAATGTACCTGCAAATACAGACCACAACGGGTTGCTTTTGCTCTATCTCACAACATGCTTGTTGAAGGGTGCCACAAAGAACACAACCTTGTTTGACAGGTGAACACCGGGTATTTGTGGACACTTGCAACAATGCCAATAGTCACCAGCACCTGCATCACGTTCATGAACACCCACCTTTGCTAGGCAGCCATGTCAAACCTGATTGCAGCTTTGAACACCTTTAACTTGTTGCCTCTGGTGCAGCACACTCTGATCTTCACCTTCTGGTTATTTTTGATCATCTCACATCATTGTTGTGGAACCGTTTCCTGGCGTTGTACAGTTGTTGTTTCCTAATGTGGTCTTGTGAGGATGAATGAATCCATTGAGGCGTTCATCTGTTCCGATCACCAAGGGGCGAAAAATCATTGGCTCGGCCAAACCAGACACATTGGCGATTTCCACTTGCCCCAGATTCTCCTGCAGGCGTGTCAAACGCTTTCACGTTTGCATATTTGGGTCGTTGTGGCACCCATTTGGGTCGTGGAATACACATCACAGCCAAAAAAAAGAAGATGACGAATTGATTCGTGCATAGGTGAGACGCGTTTTTCACACGTTTTTCGCTCGACCAAAGCCAAACGACCCTTTCAAAAGTGTCACCTATCCATGTTGCCCTTTGTCTGGAGTGTATCACCCTGCCAGCAATGGCATCGTTGCACAGGGCCTTGATGAGAGAAATCTCGATGACTGGACCATTGATGACCACCTGAGTTGTAGCAGAGTCCATACTCCTGATAGTCAACTTCGAGGACTTGGATTCACAGCACACCAACGGATGAGGATGCCTATGGGCAACATCCAAGATTCGTGTAACATTTAGAGCGATCCTAAAAAGTGATTTGTGTATGCAACCTTCGACACGGTGTGCTCGCTCGCCGAGGTTCCAGGTCAGCAAGTTCGATCGACAACGACTCTCCGTTTGTCACAACCCATTTTCGCATTTTGCACTCGATCGCTAGTAGGTTGGAGGCCATCTCTATTAGTACTGTAGCTCAAAAAAGTACATTTGTTTGACTGAATTTAAATTAATGTTTACAGTTCAGTATTCTGGGCATTCGCACTACTTTGGCTGTTCCGAGCTTTACGCAACCACTTTGCGACTTAACACGACACATTTCTCTCATGTTTTTTTTTCTTTCCTTTTCATACCTCTTCCTCTTAGTGTGGAGGCCATCGCTATTGGATTGGCGGCCATCGCTAGTAGGTTGGAGGCCATCTCTACGGACGGGTGCAGCGGTCATCGGCGCTTGAACAAGTCTTTATTTTCTTTAAACACAACATATATTTTTCATTGAGCTATCTCTGTTATTTTAGACTTTCTTTCTATTTTAGATTATTCTCGCTTGTTTTACTTCCTTTTTCAGTTTGGGCAGCGATTACGGTTTGATGCCTCCGCGGAACCCGACGGCCCAAAACCACAGTTCCCTTTGGTCCGGCCTTGCCATCTCCGGCCGAGCTCTTGGGAATGGAGTCTGTCAACTCCTCAAGTAGAATTTAATCGATGTAAAAGACAATGCGAAAAAACGTATCCAAAGAATAACATGAATATTAGCTGCAGGTGCCGCTGATTGAAGCAAGCAAATGACCTCGACAAAAGAAATTATGCTTTGGTGCTTTGAGATCCATCTGTCCTGGTCCATCTGTGCCATCGTCAGGATGACATTGCCCTCCGACTCAAGTTGGCTCACCTTGGCCACCCAGCTCGGAGGCTGTCGCATCGCAGAAAAAGGATGGGGCCAACATGGGGCCAACCTAAGAGCGATGGCCTCCAACCTAATAGCCATGGCTTCCATGAGCTATCTATAATGTTCAATTTGGATTCTTCACTTCCTTCACTTCCACAAAACAGCTTCTGCTGTGCGCCCTAGAAGCTTGAACACTTGTGTCCCCGAACGTTGACGGTTGCTTCAGATGCAATCCCTAGAGGAGCAAAAGACATACACCAGCTAAAACTCCGGTCCTTTGCATATGCTGCCAGGCTGCCAATGACAGCGGCACTGAGACCTCAGCGAGAAAGAGGCGTGCCACTCAGAAAGGCCTCAAAGTGAGTAGAACTTAAACTTAAGTTTCCCTAAAAATCTAGGAACCAAATCATTATTAGTGCGAGCGCTTCTTCAAGGAAGCTCCCCCCCCGCCCTCAGGCGGGGGAGCTTCCCTTGAAGAAGTGTGAGCTATTCTGTGTCCAGATCCTAGAAGCTATCTAGAAGCTAACTGCCTCAATTAATTAACCAAGTAGGCGCCTACTTATTTAAGTAGGAGCGGGCTAAAACATGTACAACTTGCAGCTGAAGGTGGACCTATAAAACTGGGAAGGAACCTGATGAATCATGATATCAATCATGATCAAATAGTGTTTCGATTTCGTGTATATGTGGTTTCAATCCATGGCAAGTCTTTCCTTGAGTCTGTATGATTGAGAGCCTCAAAGACTTGTCTAAAGGGATAGGCTCCAATGGAAGAGACCTGTATGATAGAGGAGGCTTCTAGACAAGGTAGATTAAACACTCGTATGAAGGTAGTTGCCTTTATCAAACATGACACATTTCTATATCAGACTTTTTGCCTAAACGGTAGGCTGTTTTGCGACTATGTATTTTGCATAAAAAGAGGACACGGTTGTCAGGCATGGGATCCTTGCAAAAGAAGGCCATTATGTTTCAATCCACGATAGCTTCATCTCAAGACGCATCTTTTGTTTTATCAAGGTTCATATGCCCATACAAAGGAGGAACAGTTCATGAAGGAAGGCATTTTTCTTTGGACAACTCCAGAGTAGCGTCCTTGCTCCTAGTATCGATGCCAGGAGCCCCTAGTAGCATCCTTGAAGGAAGGTGTTCTGACCTTTTGAACAAGACTGAACAGGTTTGACTATGGTAAAACGTTGACAAAAAAACAAACTCCAACATCGAGCTACGCTGTTGGACATGTCGGAAGATACTTGCGTGATACAGGTGGATTCTGGAAAATGGGAACTTTGGCTAGGTTTCATCAAGAACGACTGGTGCTGATGAAGGAGAAAGCGGATTGAATTGGACAAGGACGAAAAAGCGAGGTAGCTTACTGTTTTTAATAGCTTCTTGTTACTAGTAAGGCACTTGTTACTAGAAGCGATGCACTTGTTCCTAGTAGCGAACATTGTTTCCTGAAGTCTGTCAAACCATCGGACCCAGGAAGGTCAGAATGGATGTGGAAGGTAACGGAGGTGTACAGCACCAAGACTAGGCAAAGCCGGCAAAGCAAATCATGATCAAAATGATTTAGTCATTGGAGTAGTGTTGAAAGTCTCTTCTCTTTTCTTTATCAAATTCTTTGCCCTGGAAATACATGCAAATAGACATTACCTCCAAAATCAAGAGATGTTCCTTTTATTGCAAGAGGTTTGTACTGCAAGAGCTTTGTTTGTTCAAATGCTTTGGTGGATCGTTTGCCTGGAAGTGTCAGCACTACGGCCCACACCACGACAGCAGCATCTCCACTGGTTTGGCCACCACCGTCAGCAAACTGGAAGACCTTAACCCAAGGTCGTGGCTTTCGTTGTCACAAGTTGGCTTGCCGCTGAGGTTTTAAAATCTGTCATTGGTTGGAGGCAATCTCTCTCAGGTTGGAGGCCATCGCAAGTAGGTTGGAGGCTATCGCTCTTGGGTTAGAGGCTATCGCTCTCAGGTTGGAAGCTATCTCTCTCGGGTTGGAGGCCATTGCTCTTAGGTTGGAGGTCATTGCTATAAGGTTGGAGGCCTATGAGGCCATTGCTAGTAGGTTGGAGGTCATGGCTATTAGGTTAGTGGCCATCCCTACTAGGTTGGAGGCCATCGCTATTAGGTTGGAGGCCATCGCTATGGGGGAGGCCATCGCTACTAGGTTTGAGACCATTGCTTTTAGGTTTGAGGCCATCGCTATTCGGTGGGACGGCATCGCTATTAGGTTGGAGGCCATCGCTTTTAGGTTGGAGGCCTTTGCTTTTAGGTTGGTTTAGCATGGGTTATATCATTTACCGCACTACAACAATGGAGGTCCGGAGCCCAAGTTTAGGGGTACTCTGTGTGGCTGGTTCAGAAAATAGGTGACTGGCTACCAAGCTAGTAGAGTGGCCCTGGTTGAGGGTATACGGTATATCCTTCTAAAGGATACGCATGGAGTAACAGGATACAAACCTTGGCAAGAAGCAAGAAGCTCAGAACATTGAATATGACTCATAATGTGACCAGCATCAGTCTCCCCCAAACAATCTTTGCTCCTGTCATCTAAACTCCGAACAGGCAACATATATGACCTTTGTATATACCTTTGCCTTACTAATAGTAACAATGTTCGCTACTAGGAACAAATGCATCGCTTCTAGTAATAGGTGCCTTACTAGTAGTAACAAGAAGCTATTAGAAACAAGAGGCCATTGCCTACCTTTGTCTTCCATAGACTCTTCGAATCCAGCGGCGAAAGGAGCGGATGGATCCACGTTGTTGCTCCGTGCCAGTTTCACCACAGTAACCTCAGGCCGCTCGAGGCCGCACACGAGGCCACCGAAGCGAGAGAGCAGTGACGGTGTCACCACACAGAGTGGCAGCACTTAGTCTGGGATGTTCGTAGAACAGAGTTGGATGCATCTAGAAGGGAAGACCCAGTGCAGCTAGATCCTTGGAGGCCACCGCTAGTGTTACTAGTGGCTTCTTGTTACTAGTAGCTAGAAGCTACTGCCTTAAGTTTCCCTAAAAATCTAGTAGCTTATTGTTACTAGAAGCGATGCACTTGTTACTAGTAGCTTAAGTTTCCCTAAAAATCTAGGAACCACATCATTAGTGCGAGCGCTTCTTCAAGGAAGCTTCGGGCAGCGGGGGGAAGCTTCCTTGAAGAAGCGCGAGCTATCCTGCGTCCAAGGTAGTAGTAGCTACTTAAACTACTAGCTACCTTATCTAATTAACTAGGCGCCTACTTAATTAAGTGGCGAGGAGGGGGAGCGGGCCAAGCAAAATCCTGTCTAGGCTCCTCTGGGCCCCAAACGTTTCCGGTGGCCGTCTCTACCACCACACTATCCTGGCCGACGCTTTGCTTTGCTTTTTTGAAATGCTTTCCGCCAAACCAAAAGAAACACCAAACATGTTCTCAGACTGTCAGAGCATCTCAACTTCAACTGTCGAGATTTTCCGTGGCGGCACCGACATAGTTTCCTGCCCGACGAACTCCAAAGCCGCCACCGCACTTTGCAAGGCAGCCTCAGGCAGGGCTGCCGAGGTGGTGGTTTTTTGTGATGCAAATAATCGCGAACAAGATGAAGCAAGGCGAAGCAAGGAGGAAAGGAAACATGACCAAGGAAGAGACGGGAAAATATCTAAAGAACGAACAAAAAACAACAGAAGAAGAACAGAAAGACACAGAAAGGAAGCAAGGTGAAGCAAGGAGCACATAAGAGCAGGGAATACTATTGAATGGCCATGATGAGTACCTACAATAGTTGTGTGAGACGTGACTGAAACTAGATTGCAAAGACATATGTCTTCTGTCTTTCGTCCTTCTTTCTTTGGACCCACTTGTTACTACTAGTAAGGCACTTGTTACTACTAGCTCCTTTTCTTTATTTATCGAAATTTTGGCCTACTGTGTTCTACATCCAATCTTCTCTTCTCGCCACCAGGTGGCTGCAACCACTGCACCCTGGGCAGACTCGGTGTCAACCGTTGATGGCAGGATCACATCGTTCAACCTCAGATAGCCCAACTGCACAGCGAGCCACGGGGAACCTGCAATTTTTTTTGCTCAACTCATTTGTACACTGGAAGATTTCACTATGTGCGTGTGTGGAAACCGGAGTGGATGACTGTGGCATTCTATCTGCGAGCGAAAATGAGGCCAACGTGCGTACACGCTGTGAAGAAGACAACCAAATGAAGCGAACGCGATGTGTGTGTGTTGACCCTGACATGAAATTCTTCCTTCGAATGTTTGCGCATTGGCATGTGTAGTCGTCCCACGCGTGGCTTGGGACTGAACCACTTGTCACGTTAGTTCCCAGAGGCGTGCCAGTTGTCAGGCTGTCTGGTTTCGCTTTGTGCATAGGTGGTGACAATGTTGCAGTATGCACTTAGCTGTGGAGCGCCAGTGGCAACAGGTAATTACATGTCGAACCCTTTCCTGCTAGTCTTCTAGTCACTGCAGGGGCCACCGAAATGAACTGTCTGAAACCTGAATGAGGCCTTGCAGCGGCTTCTGAAACTCACTAACTTGAACATAATGATTGAAACATAAATGAGTGCATCTGCGTCACCTTGTGCTGGTGGTAGAGCTAGTACTCGTAGTGCTACCTTGGTGCACAAATTCTTTTGTCTGCAAGAAAGGCACCAAAAGCATGGCAGTGTGACTTCAGCAATTGCTTCTGCCTTTGTGAACGATGTGAAGCAAGCAACACTGCTGTTGCTTTTGCTTTCGGATTCAAACCTACGGCCATCAGGCTATTTTCCAGTGAGCTTCAACCACCTTTAGATTGCTCAAACCCCGAGCTAATGCGACAGCTATGATTTCTAAAGCAACAAAAGGGGAGGCCATTGCTAGTAGGTTGGAGGCCATCGCTTCTAGGTTGGAGCCCATGGCTTCTAGGTTGGAGGCCATGGCTATTAGGTTGAAGGCCATCGCTAGTAGGTTGGAGGCCATGGCTATTAGGAGAGTATAGAACATCAGAACATGTCATGTCGATTTGTTTGTGCAAGGGGTTCCACCTCGTTCTTCGCGACCCTCTCCTCCGCTTCCAAGGGGCTGGTCGAGGTGGTGCTGCTGGATGTCGAACTGGTGGAAGTGGTGGAAGTCGAAGTCATCTGAATTTGTGAAACAAGCGAGAAGCAAACGCGACAGCCTTGAAGTGTTGTTCTTGGTCCTCCTATGCCCTGCCCGACCGATCTTACCTCCATGGTAGGTCTAGTTTAAGCAACTTGGACTTGAGCGTTTCCAGGCCATGGCCTTACTACTAGGAACAAGAAGCTACTACAGTAGGGGCTCCTGGCATCGCTACTAGGAACAAGTGCCTTACTAGTAGTAACAAGAAGCTACTATGGGGCTTGTGGCCTTACTACTAGGAACAAGAAGCTACAAACGGGGCTCCTGACATCGCTACTAGGAGCAAGGGCATCGCTACTAGTAACAAGAAGCTACGAACGGGGCTCCTGGTGTGACCCGGGAATCAGGAACTATTGGTTTCAGACATTTTTTACATGCCGTTCGAACAGCTGCCTGCAGGCTATAGGACTATTAATCTAATTACAAACGCTTCCACCAACAAGGGAACATGGGAATTCAATGGGTTTACCCCCCCAAAAAATACGCTGAAACTGTTTGGGGTCTATGCTGGCATAAGTCAGTCTTTTTCTTTACTAGGAATCAGCATCTGAGAATTTCCAAGCTTCCAAGCTGAGGTTGTTGTGGTGCTGCTGCGAGTGACCTGAGTTGCAACACACACTCTTCTCACCGACTTTGTCAATGTTAAGTCTCCAAAAATCTAGGAACCAAATCATTAGTGCGATGCTGCATCCATATGTAGTGGCTTAAGTATCTAGTAGCTTACTCCCTTACTTAACTAAGTAGGCGCCTGCTTAATTCAGTAGGAGCGGGCAAAGATTATGAAAGAAAAAGAAACAAACACACCTCCAGTAGGTAGTAGGTTAAGTAGCTAGTAGCAAACTAGTCTCCCGTACTTAATCAAGTAGGCGCGAGTGGATACTCTACTTAACTATGTAGGAGCGGCTAAAAAAGTACAAACAAAAACACCGGAATAAAGAAAGATGCCTCTAGGAACAAGTGCATCGCTTCTAGTAACAAGTGCCACGCTAGTAGTAACAAGTGCCTTACTAGTAGTCTCCATCTCTGAAACTATCAGCTCTTGGAATCATGTTTCTCATCTAGACGTCTCTGTCCTGCTTTCCAAGTTACAGAGCTGCTGGTGCTGGTGGTCTGAGTCACCTTGTCGTCGACCCCCCCACGCCCAACCCGGTGAACGAAAGCTCAATCGTCTTGTTCAAAACTCGTCACTGAGGTTTTGGCTGTGCTGCTGCTGCTGGTGACCTTCGTCACTGGTCACAAACTGGTGAAAGAGGGTGCTTGAGGGTAGGTGCTTAGACTCTAAACTCGATCCTCTGGATATCTTTGTTTTGTGCTAGGTCTAAACTCAAGCTATTGGGTTGGAGGCCATGGCATCAGTAGGTTGGAGGCCATCGCTAGTAGGACGAGGAATGGAAGGTGCGCCGTTACAAGGGTCGCACACAGCTGATCTCACCGAGCTTCAAACACTACTACTGGTACTGCTGCTGCTTGTCACCTGAATTCACAACGAAGTCGAACTAGCTCAAATGCTTTGACAGGTTTGGCCTTATTGAACTAACGAAGCTGGATGGTCCAGGCCCCAAAAACCTGTTGCAAGATTCCCTCTTAACGGCTACCAAAGGCTATAGAGCAGCTCGTTGGTGGCCCGGCCGTACTGCTGGATGTAGTGACCTCATGCATCAGGCGGTGCTCAAGCTATCTGAAGTGAGGCAAAATGACATGTGAGGCGTTTAAACTCTTGGACAAAGAACATGCATGATTGAAGCTTCTCAAAGCATTCAACAACATCACTTTGATAAACGATCTATTGTGATGGCAAAAATATTTCGTTTGAGCTCCATGCAGAGCTACTGGTGGAACTGGATGTAGTGACCTTTGTCCACAGATCTTGCTCTCTTTAGAGACATGCAAAGCAAACAAGAATTCGAGCAGGGCTCAAGTCCCGTGCTGATGTGCTTGTCGTTGTACTAGTAGTCACCTGAAGCCATTTGCAAGAACAGTGAAAGAACTTCAGTTGACATGAAACATTGCCATAGAAACGTGGACACTGAAACAAGAAACGCTATGCCGGGGAAAGAGCATGAAAGAGTACTACTTGGCCGTTAGACAGACGTTGCCAACAGATTTGGTTGCTGTCATTCTGTAAGCCTAGGAAGGCAATTCGACAAACTATGCACAACAAGTAGAAGTAATTGCGATGGGAACCCAAACCCAAGACAAGAAAGCAACTTTTAAGAAAGATAAAAGTAAAGAGCACTTCGTTGGTGGCCCGGCCGTAGTGCTGGACGTAGTGACCTCATGCATCAGGCGGGGTGGGAGAGTCACTTTGGAACACAAGTTTTAGTTCACTTTCGAACACAGGGTTTTAGTTCACTTTGGAATCAGGCGGTGCTCAAGCAATCTGAAGTGAGGCAAAATGACATATGAGGCGTTTAAACTCTTGGACAAAGAACATGCATGATTGAAGCTTCTCAAAGCATTCAAAAACATCACTTTCACAAACGATCTTGTGATGGCAAAAATATTTCGTTTGAGCTCCATGCAGAGCTACTGG